ACGTAAGATCATCAGCGCAGCCGCATCAAGGGAACCAACTTCAGGCAACGCACTGCAGCTCGGTGAGGGGACCACGTGGCACGGGACACCGGACAGCAATGATGTACCTCCCAAGTAGAGGGTACCGGCTCCAAGATCAGCCTGCTGGCAGCCCCAAGGACGGACCACCATGCGACAGAACCTCCATGAGTCGTCACAGTGGAGTTCAAAGCAGCAGTACGTTGAACAGCCTTCTCAAGGGGGAGGTGTTCGGGGGCCAGCCGTCTCTAATAACCAAACCTCACATCATTTGGACGGATATGTCACCTGCAGGGCACGGGCCAGACGAAGGCATGCCCTGATTGGTCAGAATGCCAACGAATCCGAGTCAAGCACCTTGACTCGACGCTTCTCGCCCCCCACGGACATTCACCTTGACTCGACGCTTCTCGCCCCCTCACGGACATTCTGACACGACCTTGTGGAACACTCTGTGACTACCATATATATACAGTTGTAATGATTTTCCTCTGTTTCCATAAAGGGCTGTGTAGAGTTACCGGGCCTTTTGATATACCATAGTGGGCGAAGCAGGAAGCCAAGGGACCGATACAGAGTTGCACTACCGTTCACCAAGTTACGACAAGCACCACCGTTGGGAACTGTCTGTCTGAAGGCTTCTAACTTGCAATGTGCCGTCAGTGCACTCCGTGGTTTAGGAGTACCCCGAACTGTTCATAGGAGTTCGGTTTGGAGTCTACTTGTGGATCGAACAAGAAATCCCCGTATTGTTGGAGCGTTTTCGACCTTATGGTCACCGTCACTTAACCCTTCGTCTACAGTAGGAGGTCCACAATCAGGTCTAAGAGATGTTGGGAAATGGTACAATCGAGGAAGTGAACAGTGCCTAAAACTCTTCGATTTGGCTTGTAAACGAAGTGAACGAGAAACATCGATTTTGCATGGACTTCTGGCGTTTAAGCGAACTGACCGTACATGTGGTTGGAGCTGTGGTTCATGCTTTTATTCACTGGTGTTCCACTAGCGTTCCGGATACTGACAACTAGCTATCTGGCAAGGGACCCGGAGAAGACGGTGCTCATCGTTGGGGACACCTTATACCAATCTAGACGTCTGCCGTTTGATTTTTCGGGGTACTGGCGCTCAGTACTTGGTTTAACGAGGGAACTGCACAATGTCGCCGTGCGTGGGAATGATGACTTTATCTATAGCGATCGGGAACCAAAGCATACCTTTCATCTGAAAGCCATATGGGAGAGTATTAGAGAAGCCGGTCTGCGGATAAATGGAGCCATGATCCAGCCTGCTCGAAATCCAGTGACATTGCTCGGGCTTAAGGTGGGTCAAGAAGAGGTTAGCCTACTGCCAGAAAGGCTGGAAAAATTTCAGGGCGAGGTGGCTCAAGTGGTTAGAGTGCGAATTTACTGACCGTAGGGTCCATGGTTCGAACCCGACCTCTGCCTCTCGACTTCCCCTGTCTAAGCTTGGGCAACCTGGGAGTATCCCAGCCCTCGTGCTTCATTCTGGTGGCATGCCAGCTAAGCACCGGAAGGGTGCTACAGCTGAACAATTAGGACAGTGAAGTGCCACATTCAAGGTATTCCCTACACCATTTTCTCAGAGCAGCATACAACAGTCGGTTTGTCGAGGATTTCAACACCATTGCTACTCCAGGGTACGACTTGCTGCGTCAAAACCGGTTACCTGAATGGACAATGCAATCCGGATTTTCGCATTTGTGTTGAGTCCTGACCTAATCTGACGGGGGCATTGTGAACAAGTGTTGTTAGCGGCAGCTTCGACGCCGTACATGAAGCCCCGCTCAAGCTCTGATAGCGCAGTTGGAAATTTATTCTCTGAGATCCTGGAGAGGTAATCGGACTACTCTCCTCCAGGTGTTGCGCTGTTGTATCACCTTCTGAGGAAGATGACCCTTTCAAGCCCAGGGACTCCAGCCGTGGTTAAGGTAAGCGGGTTGTTCTGGAAAATTGCAATGCTCCGGAAGCAGATTTGGATAGCACAAAGCTCTCCAAAGTCGATCCGATGGTGATGGCCAAATGGCCTTGCCATATGACTCAGTTCTCATCCCTACAACTCGATGGCAGGTGGGAAATAGACTGGGCGCGTCAGATCTTATCACAACAAACCCAAGTGACAGTTGGCAGCTGAGCTTCATACAGCATCACTTAACGAGGTGTGAAAGCGTCCCAAACGCATACAGAAATCTCTGAACATTTCGCTGTGTGCTACGCAGACAGAATTCTGAACTAACGTATCTGACAACCCCTCGTTCCACCTGCGTCTGCGCACAGTAAAGCGTCAAAGAAACGGACTGGTTAGAAATTTACTGCAGGAACTTCGTTGACCTCAATTGGTAGGCGTATTCTTAAGTGCTTCTAATAGTGCACAGTTGGATCCCCGTTTACTTCATCCTGATCATGTAGAACTGACCTTACCTTGGTGTGTGCCCTTGAGGTTTGCTGAGGGGTGGCCGTGCACACTGTAAGGCTCATACCAGTTTGGTCAACTTGTAGAGGTGTGATTGACAGTCTCCTGGTTTTCCAGGTTGGTGATAGAGACAGGTGTGGGGACTTGTGACTATCACTATTACCACAACTTTTCGATTATTCACTTTTGTGACCTATGAGGAGTTCGTGAAATGCTCCGTAGGATTTTGCTAATAAATAGAACCTTAATTTGGTTTTTATGCACTCCAGCAGCGTTTTTAAGCGTTTGTTCCAGTCGCTCTCCGTCTTTGCGTAAGGTGTAATGCTTTTTTAAATATAGTCCCTGGCGCCTTACACGGTCTCTACATGCATGTGATGGGAGTGTTCTTGACACTAAAAAGTGATACCTAAAGCGCCATTCAGCGTTCTTGTATAACTATACAGTCGAAAATGAGGTATTTATCGTGCAGGTTCAATTTGTATGTGATGAAGTAACAAAAAATGGTTTCCGAAGTTGTGGTAATAGCATCAGCCGGGACTTATTAAGTAAGTATGACAATGTAACTGCACTTGCCGCCAAACACCGTTACCTTGCGGTCAGGGTTTGGAGCCAAAGGCTTCAGCCGGAATGATCATTGTGTTTCCGAAGTTGTGGTAATAGCATCAGCCGGGACTTATTCTATAAGTATGACAATGTAACTGCACTTGCCGCCAAACACCGTTACCTTGCGGTCAGGGTTTGGAGCCAAAGGCTTCAGCCGGAAGCCCTGATCATTGTCCGGTCTGAGCGTTCTGTCAGTATACCAGCCTAAATACAACAATTAGTTGCACACTTCCAAATATATACAGCGGGTGGGTGGGCGAAAACAAGCTTGTACCGACGCCTCCTTTCCTCTTCCAAATACTTTTTCCTTCCCCATTCATAACTCTCTTTGTGGACTCATCAGTTAAGACTGATGAGTCTGTTCACCCCTCATTGGTTTAGGCAACAAAATCTGAGAGTGCGTATGGACAATAGCTTCAGCTGTTTGCTGACTGCCGGCTGTTTTTATGTAGTGTTACCGAAATAGAAGTCCATCAGCGTGTCATGTACGAACCTCAATTGGTAAGTCTCTATCAGTTTCCGATGACCGGATCATCATCATTGTAAAAAAGCATGACTTCAATGTTCAACACTGGTGCTTCACTGTCGTACAGCCGTGATTTATTTGAAAGCCTTATTGTGGAGAAAATAATAAAAATGGACAGGGAAGGAACTTAGTGCTAGCCTGCGACAATCATTCTGACTACACGTTCCACAAGAATGCCACTGATACCAATCAGCAGTCAGCAGCGTCTCTAACCAGACGCAGTGGGAATCACGCGGTCTCAATCCTGGAAGGCGAGTAACACCACCAGTGCCCAAGCGTTTCGTAATCCCTTTCATACCCTTCTTCCCGGTCAAGGATTGGTCACCTCTCTCCTGCCACTCTGAATTGGGCACTGATAACAACACTTCGGCAAATGATGGTTCGGTATAAGCGATACATGGCTTAGACAATGCAGCTTCTGGTGCTAGACACATTCCCCATTGGAAATCCACGCTTCACAACCGAAAACTCGCTTTCTAATTTTTCTCGTTATGGATTCGCCGACAACAACCCACAGGAGCTGTGTTTCTGAGACAGCGATCGTCGAACACTTGAAGACGTCTTAGTTCCGCCGCTCGAACTGGCCAAGTTTTGCAGCCAACAAAACGGCCCACACTGTATCCCGATACACACGTCCCTTGAGATTCAGGGACACATTACTTTGACGCCATAGATGTCAAATTGGCAAACGCCCCTCGGGCATTAATCTCATTTGTCACACTATAGTAAGAACAAATACAACTTCCAAGATACGTGAAACTCCACAACTTCCAGTTCCTCCCCCTGGATCGTAAGTGGCGTGTTCAATGACTGCATGTCCAGGAGCATGACCTTGCACCTCGTGTATGCAAAGTGCATGCCAAACGACGGGATGACTTAGGTCAGTTCACCCAAAAATACCTAAGCCTACTTCCCCTCTTTGAAGACGCGAACGATATCGTCTGAGTATCCCAGAACAACAAGGTTTCCGTCGGAGACTATTTGAGCACCGGGGTTTTTAAGACCTTCCATCGTTCTCACTAGTCCACCGATCACGTTATTAAATGGAATTGGAGGGAGTGGGTACTCCTGATGGACACCACTTTATTTGTGGAAGCTTTTGGAGAGCTCTCACATGTCCTTAAGTCTGCAAATACAAAGAGCTTATTACTTTCACGAAATTCCGGAGCAATCTTTAATCGGCAAGCGTGCCTAGGAGAACAGACCGGTCAACCGAGTTGAACGCCCCTTGAAAATCCAGGAATACTAAAATTGTGGGTCGTTTACACTGATGACGTTCTAGCGTCTGACGGAGGTGAAGATCTGGTCAATGCAACACATACCAGGCCGAAATCCCTCTTGCTGTTTCACGAGCCATCATAAAGCGACGAAAGACAAGGGACGCCAACAATCTCGTTACAAGCTTGGTCAAGTTTAACCCCCTATGTTTACCACACTGAAAATAAGCCCCTTTTTGAAAAGGGTATCATCATCGATTTTCTCCAGTTGTCTCCTTTTCCCAAATGCACGCAAACAGATCAGACAAGCACTGACTACGGATTTCATTTCATCTTTTAACAGTGAGGGTAGGAGGACATCCGGACCAGGAGACTGGTGGCGCTTTAGAGAAGATATGCAGTCATATACCTCCAAGGCTGTAGTTTCCACGTTCACCGTCCAAGGTTCTACGTTAGCTGTGGGCTCCAGATGAGCGGTAGCTGGTGGTCACAATAACTGTCATTCGAAGTATTCGGATCGAGGCGTTCTTCTCTGTTCGGGATAGTCGCTACATTGTGACCCCGATCACTAACTGGCTGCCGCTCGGTTTGATACACATGTGTGAATTCACCGTCCTCAACCGGCAAGCATTGAGCTGAATGGTGCTTCGTCATCTTTGGAGAATTGGTTCCCAAACCCTTCATTCGATGTCTTTTAGTATGTTCGTAAATGTTTGACCACTTTGTAAATCATCAGATGAACAGCTCAGTTAAAATGACACATTTCTCCCTTTTAGGATGCCCGTTCTTTTCTGTCCATTATGCCACTCGCTGTTGATGGTTGAGGAGTCAGCTAATTGTTACTCCTTGAATTGTTCTACACCGTGTTGTTCCTACCAGTGGTTTGTAACTCAACCGCTTGTGCAGGAGCATAAACCTCGTCAAGATATTCGATTACGCTTGGAGGAAGATGCTGTCTTTTCCATAGACGACCAATATAGTTCTTCAGCGCAGATCGAAGAAAAATGTCCCAAGTGTGGCCATAATCGCGCCTATTTTGTTCAAATGCAAACACGGTCTGCGGACGAGCCAAGTACCACAAAATATTCTTGCATGAAATGCCGTCATATTTGGACAGAAAATTGATGTGTTCACCTCCCTTCGTGCCAATTTAAACCAATAACCGTACTAACAATCGATTATCCATTGATTCCTGGTGATGATTTTTTAAGGGCTAGATTTTCATATGTCCCACTTGTAACCTTACTACCGAGGGTATGAATTATTTTCATGGCTTAGAATCTGTACTTCGGTCATTCCAAAGCATTTACCTAAATGCTTAAAGCTACTCCACCAAAACAACGCAACTGTCGCCACGAAGAATTTTTGGTTCTCTACATTTCTACTCTTGTTTTCGGGACCTTTCCTCTGTGAGAATTGCAAGGGTATTATGGATCTGGTTCAAAAATACTCTGTAGCGAATCGTCAGCTTACCTGTAAACATAGAGCATGTGGGGTAATAGTATAGCTCCAGTGTGGCACCCCTTCAGCACATGGCTGTCGTAAAATTCCAGAACACGAATGATTGGGGCGATTCTGGCTTGCTCAAACTTGCGTAGTATGCATAGTGTAGTCAGGTATATGGCTTAGATTGCAAATGCCATTTTCTTTTGAAGCCCACTTGGTATCTTTTCATTCCCGGTCTTGAGTTGCTGTAGATTAAAGCATCATCAAAGCAAGCACCTGACAAAACTCTGGCTATCGTGCAGAACAGTGTGGGAGAGTAACCCAATCCAACCAGCAATCTTTTAGTCGTGTACGTGTTGCGAATTAGTTACACTTGATCGACTATGGTTGTTGGTGGTTTAATGGTTAGAGTGCGAGTTTACTGACCGGAACTTCTGTGGTTCAAAGATGACCTCTCTCTCGACTTCCCTGTCTAGACTTGAGCAACCTGGTAAAATACCAGCTTCTCTCTTGTGACATGGCAGTTAGGCACCGAAAGGGTGCTACAACTGAACGATGGTTGTCGGTGGTCTTAGGTATGACCGTATTGATTGGTTGTATGCCAAGCAGGGCTGACAAGCTATTTAACGAGAAACAGAACTACGGCATGGTAGAACAGAGGTACGATACCATGGCAGTCCTGAGCTAACAGGCTGAGTAAGTTCTGGGGCTGTTTTTCATCCATTCATTTGTACAATGTCTGACCTTGTAACCTTTCCTTGAAACATACGCATGCCATCCTGGGAACAAATCAACTAATTTAGTCAAACATACATTTGGATCTGTGAATAAGGGAGGGATGCATTCAAAAATGCATGAAAAATCAACAATAAGGACTGGGGGAATGGCCTTTCAATATGATGATATTTCTGTCGGATTTTCAAGGCTTAATTTGTCGCTGTGGATGAGAGACAATAGCTGCTTACATCTACGGAGTAGTTCTGTCTCCAGAAGTTTTCGTGCCCGATTTCCACCGTAGAACCCTACTTCTGTGTAAACCAGGGAGCTGAGTATGCCGAGGTATTTGGTAAGCGGATGTGTTCATGTTACGTCACGTTGGGCTGCAGATTGGACTCGAACTGAGTGAGTACGGCCGCTCACCAGCGGACAATGACGACCGATTGATCTACACAAAAGGGACTTACCGGCTTTATACTGTTAAGGAAGCATTTCATCCAATTACCGACAACTGATAGAAGTCTAAAGTATCACCCAACAATACAAAAATGTTTTAACAGGTCCATTCTCCTTGTTGGGGAGGTGATATGCGAAAAGTTGTAGCGGTCGGTGATGCAACACGTATTTGTACCAAAGGGAGTATGTTAACTACGGTCGGCGCATTCACAGTAAATTTTATTTTAACTCAGATCTGAGCTTCGTTCCAAACCAGCTGTTGATCCGAGCTTACTATCGTTTGACTACTGATGAATATAAAGAGTCGCTCCCCACGTATAGATTTACAAAAGGCAACAGTTGTGTTTGTGATGCCTCGTGCAGTGAAAGTTCTATCGCAGCCCATCGTTCGCTATCGTGGTCTTAGGTAAAGGTACCACATAAAAACTGGGTTGTAAAAGCCAGATAGTTAATGTCAGATCGAGGTCACTTAGTAATCTAAGCGTTTAGCGAGGGAAGATCAAATGGGGTCAAGAAATGGAAGATAAGTGGTTGAGTTGATGGACGATTAACCTTGAGACTCAAAATGATTCGCACCGCGAGGATGGACCGGTAAAAGTACGGTGCATTGAATAAAATGCAGCGTGTACAAATGTAAACTGTCGAACTCCCAAAGCCTGACATGAATAAGATATAAGGACAAAGAGATCATCCTGACATGAATAAGATATAAGGACAACATAAAGAGATCATCAGGCACGTAGGTGAGCAAATGTCGATAACAGCTGTCGTGATAGGAAGAATGTGTTGAAAGAAGACACCAGAGGATCTATGAAATGGCCTGGTCTCCAACACATTTTAGCTATCGCGCCTTTTAGACATTCAGAATCCCATGTTCCTAACCACTGGAATGTGTTCACTGATTCGTGTTGCAAGGTTCCTCGTCGTTCGACCAATGTCTCTGTGTCCGCAAGTATAATCAAACCAACAAATTAAATTTGATATCGGGTGTCGAGTCATTATATCTTTCATTGGTGTTGGCGCTAGCATCGTCTATTCAACTAATAATAATTCAGTGGCCTCGTACGTTCGTTGTAGTTTCGAATCCAAGTGGAACTTCATTAGGAACTGGTTGCTTAACACTTGACCATTGAGTGGGAGTGAGAGATAGACTGGTGCGGTTGAAATAACCTTACGAGAGCGACTTCGTTTCGAATCGGTGGGCCTTGTGGAATGTCCCTTTTCCTCCAGGAGGCATATCTATTGGTCCGTTTTGTCATCTGCGGCGTTTCAAACAGGATCAGTGTGTTTGTGATTAGCAGGCGCGAAGCCTTGAGATGAGTTTATTGCTTTGTATAAACCTCGTGATAGCGATCCATTTAACTATTTGGTCTGGCTGACTTCGAGGAATTGTATTCCTTTATGTTGCTTAATTTCTCAGATAAAATTTGAGTGCATTTTGGTGCTTTGAGTAACTGGTGCACCCCATGAATTGGATCGCGACCCGAGCGAATCGCAATAATGTCGTCTATGTACGTTTGTGGGAGCGAGATGGCTTAGTGGTTAGAGCGAAGTGGTTCGAACCGAACCCGACCTTTGCCTCTCGACTTCCCTGTCTAGGCTCGAGCAACTTGGCTTCCTTCGGGTGGCATGACAGTTAGGCACCGAGAGGGTGCTACGGCTGAACGATTTACTTTTCATGTACCGTTTGTAAATCACCAGTTTCCGAATTTCTGCCGATAATGGCTCCTCCATGTGACTTACGAATTTGGCTGTGATAACCGGCCCAAACGGGCTCCTTATTACAACATTATCTTCCTGTCTATAAGATGTGCCGCCAAAAGGGGGTCGGATGTCTATAGAGGCTCCTACGTGGAGACTTGTCTCTGACAGAATAATAGGGGACATCAATTATTTCGTTGGGAAATAATGTTGGTGAACAAGGATTGAAAATCAAACGACCTGTTTTTTTATATGAATCTGCCGCAGGCAATCCACAAATTTAAACATCAGGAGACCGAAAAGGTCATCTCGAATATGACAGGTTTGAGACGTGTAGGATGTGTCCGAGAGCGAGTTGGAACAGGGTCCGGGCTTTCGAGGCTAAGCAACGTTTTCCTTGTCTTAGAACAAGCGTGGATAAGATGAAATATACATACAAAGGTTCAATACTAGCATATGTGGTAAGTATAATAATAATATACTATAATAATATCAAAAAATCATGACAAGGTTATAGCATCATAATCAGGCGTTGAGTGCTTTTATGATAAGCAGAGGCATAAGTTGACTAGATTGCACGTGAAGACAGAGTTTATGTATTTCCGGTAGTCTAGACTTCCGTTAAGTTGCGAATCCAGTTATGGGGAGATGTTGCAGCTCTCTCAGACAAGTACTGATGGTGCGTTTGACTTTCTAAACCGTGTCCTTTTGTTGTTCATCAACCTAAAGATCTTCCGTTGGACAACATGTAGATAATTCGGGCATTGTAATATGCGCAGTTTTGTAGCACAACTCCAGGCCCATTGTTCGGTGGCAGAATGAATGACTGCCTGTTTCTCCGGACACACTCACAGCGTAACAGGTGAGCTTGGTTTACGGGAGTCTATTCATACTGATGGGCTAGTCGACCAACGTAGATTTAAATCAACTCTGTGTTTTTGGACACAAATTCTAGACAGCTGAGCTCTTCAATTAATTTTTCGAGCTGTGTACGAACTTTGGTGAGATCATTTTCTGTGCTACCACACAGAACTTTGGCCACCAGATAAAGCTTCTGTTTGGATTTTGCTCATGAAGACAGTGGGGAGTTGGATAACCTATCTGTCTAGATTTGTATATAGGGATCCGTTGTTCTTCTGTTTTCGTTTGGATGTTATCTTGCAGATTACTGGATCGTGGTATGTATAGGATTTGTTAGAACAATAAAGACTGGTAGATTCGATTGATGAATACAAGAAAGTATGCCAATTTCAGATTCGTCGTTTTCAGGTTCATTCAATCAACATCTGGTCCCACCGTCCTCTTCAGTTATCAGCGGCTCATTTTGACTTTCCACTTTGTAGTACCTTAGCCTTGGGTAGTGATCAGAATTAGTGTGCTGCCTCCGAAATTCGTTGTTTATGGACGTCCTTGTTTCGTTTGCCTTCAAGTCAATAAGACCTTTGAGACTTGATAAATGCTGCTTGGGAAGACGCGAATGTGTAAATGTGGAAGATCTTTACGTACTGGTGGGTTTGAAAAAGGCCAAGGTTGTGGTATGTCATATCTTTCCAGCAGTATGTTTGCCCCCTTCTCCCTATACACACAAAAAATTACTGGCTTAGCTCTCATTTACCTGCGAGGCTCTTTGTTTCGTGTCTACTGATTAATATCAAGCTTTGGAAATTCAACATTTTGAACTTGCACTGATTGTACTTTCTATGGGACATATCTATATTGTACCTTTTCTGGTTCATTCTTGCCATGGGTATCATCAGTCTCACACCTATGTTCACAACCAATCGTCGGTCGAACTAATCCCTCGT